TGCCTGAAAACATGGACCAGGGCAAATAGACCCTGTATCAAACCGGTACTAAGTAATGGCCTAAGCGATACTGGATTAAAATTAGGTCAACATTTTTAATGTATATACTAAACTACACAACTAAAAGGTGGGAGTCAAGAAAGTACAATCTAATTTTAAACAAAACATAAATACAGACCATCAAGTGTTCTATAACGTCTTGCGTCTGCTCAGCGGTATTGTTTGGATTTACTTTATTTTTATTTGTTGTAACATACAGCGCTGATTAGTTGTTTATGTCCATGAATAGAAACAAAAAGGAAATTCTTGTTGTGATTCCTTAATATTTCGAATTTTTACCGCATGTTATGTTTAAATGTCAATGTTCGATTGTCGTAGGATCATATTCTCACGTGTAGACAGCCCAGCATACTGTCACGTGTAGGTAACCCAATATACACAGTAACAAAGAAGAACAGATTTTCTAGAAGCTATGTTCTGTAATTTCTCTAGAACAAGTCCAGCCCCTATAAATAGGTGCCGCAAATTCGAAAGAATTAGTTAGTTCGAATTTAAGCGACGAGGAGCATGAGTAAAGAAGCGATAGTGTCTGATGTAGGAATGAAATAGAAATTAATTAATTATAGTGGTATTAATTAGAAGGCAAATTATTAAATAAATTAGTCACTAGTGAGAAACATGTTTGATTAAGTGACAACTAATTTAAGATTTAGATTAATTCGGTCTCCTTCTTTTTCGAAAGATCTACATAATACAATGATTTTTAATTTGTTCGAATTATTATTATTCTAATTGCCACGAAACATATGCGGTACTAGCCCAAAATATAAAAGTACGTGTAAACTACGAACAGTACACATTAAATAGANATACTATAGAGATACGTGAATCTCGAAATTTATTCAATGTTTTTTGGTATTTATTACAAAAAGGGCGAATGAAACCTATATCATTCGAAAAATACTGGGTTATTATACTACTTAAAATTTTACTTAAATAGTATATAATTAACGCTCATCTATCATGCGAATTATTATTATTCTAATTGCCACGAAACATATGCGGTACTAGCCCAAAATATAAAAGTACGTGTAAACTACGAACAGTACACATTAAATAGAAACTACCTTAATGACCTTCAGTGATTCTGGTTGCTGTGCGGCTTTTCTTGAATGTCGACTACGTGCGACCAATATTAAAAGTACCTCGGTATTAAATTTCGTTAAACCAAACTGTTCCTTCCAATCTTCTTCGCAAATTTACTTTGACGCGTTTGATCTTCACGTGAAAGGCATTGCTCTCCCGATTCGTAATAAGGTTTAATATTTACAACCGCCTAGAACTTCAAAAAACCAATTTCGATCAAACTATATTTGAATAAATTTTCAATTATAAAAGATAAATGATGTATAAACAACGACAAGTAATTTTTAATAAGGAATTGATAACGGACTGGGCAGAAAAGCATAATGATTATACTAACCTAAAAATCGTACCGCTTACCATATATTTTTATTGTACTTAACAATTATTTTACCAAATTGTTCTTCTTCAAAAGCATGCAGAAGGGAGTCAGACAGGGATGCACACTGTCACCGCTACTTTTTAATCTATACATCGAAGACGCGATCAACATCATTAAAGACAGTACAACTGTAGGGATAGATGTGCAAGGGCAAAAGATTAGTATGCTTAGATTTGCAGATGATATAGCAGTATTAGCATCTAGCAAGGAGGACCTAGAGATAGCTTTAAATAAAATGGAAGCGGTACTGACAGATCAGTACTGTATGAAAATAAATAAAAGTAAAACTAAAATACTGATATGCAAGGGAAGAAAAAGTAGGGAAAGAGCGAATATAAAGATAGGAGACGAAAAATTAGAAGAAGTGGCTGATTTTAGATACCTAGGAAGTCAGATAAGTGAGGATGGAAGGAGTAGTAGGGATATAAAGCAGAGGATAGCGCAGGGTCGTGTCGCCTTTAATAAAAAGAAGTCACTTCTATGCTCGCGAACGGTTAATTTAGAAATTCGAAAAAGGTTGTTAAAGGTGTATGTTTGGAGCACGGCGTTGTACGGGTGCGAAACATGGACAGTGGGAGCGGCGGAAAAGAAAAGGTTAGAAGCGTTCGAAATGTGGTGTTATAGGCGGATGATGAGGATATCGTGGGTAGAAAAGGTTAGAAATGAAGAGGTATTGGAAAGAATAGGAGAACAGAGGACTCTATGGAAGTCAATAAAAAATAGGCGAGATAGGTTGGTAGGACACCTTCTCAGGCATGAAAGTCTAGTCAGAGACATATTAGAGGCAGAAACAGGAGTTAGGAGGGGTAGAGGTAGACCTAGATTAGATTACTGTTCGCAAGTAGTTAAGGATTTGGGCTGTTATAGTTTTAGGGAAATGCGAAGATTAGCTCAGGATAGGAAAGAGTTGAGGTACGTGTCCAACCAGTCTTAGGACTGACGACCCTATGATGATGATGAGGTAATTAGCCAGTGGTCACCTATCGCGGCTTCGCTCGTGGAAGGTTGGTAATATTTAATACCGCTCAGAACTCAAGAACTCTGATTTCGATAAACAATCAAATGTTAAAAAGATTTCGATATCACTTAACTACAGAGTATTTGTGTTTTTTAGAAAGCGTCCTTTGTGTTTAATGCTTTAGAATGCAATTTTCGCAAAATCCATTTTTATTGCGCTTTTTTGTAATAGTCAAAATATGCTCTCAAAATTTCATTCAATTGATCATCAGTTAGTCAGTTAAGACAAACTCCTTTATGTACACTATGACTGATCTGTATTCCGGAATATTTAAAAGTCAACATCTGGAGGCACTGCAGAATGCATTTCATGATAGCATCACAACGTAGGGAGTGTAAAAAGTATGCACAGAAGGTGCCTAAATTAACGAGTCGTCAATGAATGAGAACAGTTGCCAGTTTGGCGAACGCGTTATCTTATTGTCCTTCGTTACCGCAAGCGTCAAGTAACGAAGCACACATCTACTTATGACCTTCGTAGCAGCTGGTACGCAGACAGGTTAATTGCACGTGCGACGATTGCTAGTAGCCTGCACTCCGTAGTTACTGTTCAATTGGTAGAATTACTGCTACTATCGTAAAATACAAAAATAAGTTGAGTGTGAAAATATCAAACGAAAAGTAATGTATTCGCGGAAATAGTGGTCACATACAGACGGTGCAATACGAATACACAGTAGTTTTCGGAACAGGCAGGAACTGCTACAATTGTCGCTGCTGTACAGCGGTTGTGGGAAACAGGAAGTTTGATGGAACCGATGGAGTTGAAGACCAGCTAACGAAATCGTTTTGAGATTAATTGAAGACGATCCTGATTTGTGTACCCCAGTCATTGCACGGCAAATAGGGATTGGAAGATGGAAGATTTTAAGAGAGAATTCCCTGCATCCGTTGCATTATCGAAATACGTCATACCTAGCAAGACGTACTTCCATTACTTTTGCGAATTGTATCATTACTATCGCCGTTTGAAATAACCGGCAGTGCATTTCATCCTTGCCCGTGTTTCCGTATAGAACTCTGCCACAGCAAGTAGGGACACCGCGTTACACAAATACACTAGATAATCCTGGTCATCATTACCGGAGAAGTTGGGTGTTTCGGTAAGGTCATATTTATGTATATCACAGAGTGGTGAGAGATAGCCCATCCTACTTCTTTTCCATGTACCTTCTTCTGCCTTAATTTTTTTCGGAGTACTGATCAGACATACTATAGAGATACGTGAATCTCGAAATTTATTCAATGTTTTTTGGTATTTATTACAAAAAGGGCGAATGAAACCTATATCATTCGAAAAATACTGGGTTATTATACTACTTAAAATTTTACTTAAATAGTATATAATTAACGCTCATCTATCATGCGATCAACCATGATTCTATTCCCAAGTAATTTAATATGTACTTTTTTCTTCTTATGTTAGGTAAAATCAATTAGTCCAATATCGACCGTACACTCTTATACCAATAAATATATTACGATATGTTTAGGCTTGGGATACTGGTATCCACTTTTATACTAGTTAAAACAGTGACGGAAGCTTAATGACACAAATTTTTCGGAATTTTCCGGATACTGGCCAGGATTTCTATTAAAACAGTCTTAAATTCAAATGCATGTTTTACAATATGACAATAGAAAAGCACAAGCGAGAAATTCCATTTGTCCATTTATCGTTTTTAAAACATAAAGAAATACTAAAAAAATAATTCGAAGTGGTCTGTATTCTGTCGAAACTGCCAGACGCGGATCGCGATTTCGATTTTTCGGATCTCATCAGCGCGTCGCAGGTAGCTCCGACAGAACACAGACACAGACCAACCTTTACCTGCTGTCTTAACAGCGCGTTTTAGAAAATACCACAAATGGCGTGGTGAGCGCCATCTGTAGTACGATGCTACATTTGAGGATTACGTATGCTCCAACAAGGTCCATTTAAAAATATGGATATCTACTTGCTGAAACTAATCCCGGCGTAGCNTTCACCGCGCCATTTGTAGTATTTTCTAAAACGCGCTGTTAAGACAGCAGGTAAAGGTTGGTCTGTGTTCTGTCGGAGCTGCCTGCGACGCGCTGATGAGATCCAAAAAGATCGAAATCGCGATCCGCGTCTGGCAGTTTCGACAGAATACAGACCACTTCGAATTATTTTGTTCGATTATGGTAACAAATGAAAGCATGTATAAGCAGAGTAAATCGTAATCTTGGGGATTTTTTCTATAACAGTTACTGTACCCCATTTTTCCCATGATATTCCCTTAATGCTTTTAAGTATATAAAGCTTTTTAAGGCATACCAACGAATGATGACCTTTCTTTATCTAATTTATATCGACTATTGGGTAATTTTACAAAAACACATGTTAACATCGTTTTAATAGTTTGGTACTTCAAACTTCAACACTTTTATAATATTATGATGGATTTTTAAATTTATAATACTTTGTTGTTTCTAGCTGGCGTCTCCTGGGGGTCACCTTTTCGTAACAAGGCAGCCACAATGCATGGGCCAAATTCTAGCTGCTTTGGCGGTGTCTCTTGGCCCTTTCTCTGCTGGTTTGGGAAAGGGCTATAGTTCTCCGGCCATAGCATCTTTGCAACAAAGAGATGCGAATTCTTTCCCTGTTAGTGGACAGGAGGCATCATGGCTAGCAAGTCTCTCTCTTCTGGGCGCTTTATTTGGAGCTCCCCTTGGAGGGGCTGCAATGAGATGGGGAAGAAAGCGTACCCTACTTTTAGCTGGAGCACCTCTATCTGGGTGCTGGATTATGATCTCTCTAGCTTCTAACGTAGAGCTGATTTGTTTTGCTGCTTTCTTAAGTGGTTTCCTTGTAGCCATAGTACAACTTGCCGCTCAAGTTTATGTAAGTGAAATTGCCACTCCATCAATCCGTGGTGGACTTAGTGCTCTCTTGAAAGTAGCCGGGCTTATAGGGGTCTTAATAGCATTTGCTTGTGGAGCAGCCCTAAACTGGCGTCATCTCGCTGGTATTATCTCTCTTGCACCGGCAGCAATGTGCGTAGCTGTTTGGAAAGCGCCGGAAAGCCCAGGATGGCTTGTTTTGCGAGGAAGAGATGCCGAAGCTGAAGAATCGTTGAAAGTTTTAAGAGGAAATAACGTCGATTTAAGAATGGAGTTAGGCATTCTTAAGTCGTACGTTGTTTCGAAAAGGGTCCGAAGGAATCCGGTAGTACTACTTAGCACTTTGAGGAGTTCTACATTAATATCGTGCGGTCTTATGTTCTTTCAACGCTTTTCTGGTGCAAACGCTTTTAATTTTTACGTGGTTAGTGTGTTTAGGCAAACCTTTGGTGGCACCAATCCTCATAGCGCCGCCATCGCTGTAGCTATGGTACAGTTTTTGTCGGCACTATTATCTGGGCTTCTTGTAGATAAAGCTGGTAGGTTACCCTTATTGGTGGCCTCCAGTGTGCTCATGTCTTTGGCCTTAGCCTCTTTTGGCTCTTTTGCCTACTACGAAGATGCTCATCGCTCAACGTTACCCCAATTAGACTGGATACCTCTTCTCTGTGTGCTTGTTTTTACGATTGCATTTTCATTAGGCATAAGTCCCATTTCCTGGTTACTTGTTAGTGAGCTTTTTCCCTTAGAATACCGCGAAATTGGAACCTCATTTGCTTCAACCTTCAGTTATCTTTGCGCTTTTGCCGGAGTCAAAACGTTTATTGATTTTCAAGAACTTTTCGGTCTTCACGGGGCCTTTTGGTTTTACTCGGCTGTATCTGTGTCTGGTTTGTGCTTTATAGTGTGTTGTGTACCAGAAACAAAAGGGAGAGATCTTAATGAAATTGATACCAGTACCAGGTGATTTCACTGTCCTTTTTTTGTATTTTGAATTAAATCACCTGCAACTTAAAAATCAACTTTGGATTGGCATATGAATAAAATGCTCAAATTTTTTGCAACGTATTCTAAACAATAATTTCTGAAGTGAAACGGAAATGTTATTTTGACCTTTTGTATGAAACAAAATATTATAACGACGCATATCATGGCAAATAGCTCAATAAATACCAACCTACATAAATAAAATTTTGCAATGAACACGGTTACTAAAATTATAACAGAAGGTAAGCATTTCAAAAATATTTTCTGGGTATCTGCCTCAAATAGAAAGATTGTTCGTTAATTCCTACTGTTTCTCGTTCGAAAAATAAATTAAGTAGATGAAGCTAAGATATAAAATAAAAAGCAGAAAAATTAACTTCGTATAGTTTGAACTTAATGGTTGTGTTAGAAATACACTTAGACTTTCGGACTTCCATATCTGTCAGTTATCTGATGACCACTGGAGATAACTACACGGTCGAAACGTTGTAACTGTTTAATAAATAAAGACATGAAAATCCGAAAGTCTAAGTGTATTTGCTTATCTTTGCTTTTAAATTTAGTGTTACATTAACAATTTTTCTGTAATCAAAGATATTAAATTATTTGTAGAATGCGTTCGGAACAGGTTCTCTCGAAAATTCCAGCGAAAATAATATAAGCCAATGAATACGTATTTTGAAAATTAAAGCATTCATAGAAGAGATTTTTTTAGCTAAATGTGTTGAATGCGAAGATAGATAAGGCTGGTCATCTTTAGATTCAAAAATTAAATTCCGCTTCATTAATTTATTATAATAGTAAAATCAAGAATATAGTTTTTTCTAAAATATTTGTCAAATTATGGATCGTAGAGAAGAATAATGTCAACAAATTGCATTTAATAATCAAATTGTGGAAGATTTGTTTCTTGTTCATTTGAACGATTTCGTATCTGCCTTCATCTTTTACTTCGTCATCGTCAGAGGTCCAAATCAATTGTGTATATAAAAAAGATCGAACATTAAAAATAAAAAAGTAATTCTAATTGTTTATAAGAAAACCATAGTTAAAATTTTACTTTTTCTTAGTTGACAATTTTAAGGCTTTTATTTAAAAAATTCGGTTATTAATTTTCAGATTCATATTTGTGTAAACACTCCAACTTTAGAATGCGAGTTGTTAAACCTTTTTTATGAAAAATTGGCAACTGTGGAACAAGTCAAAGTTGATGGTTTTTTATCCTAGTGAGAGAAATAAATAGGACTTCGCAAAAACTGTTGCACCTACAGCACTGACTTTTTGCACCTATTCACATAACAGAAAATATGTAGATGGTTTGATCGATCTTACATTAATTCTTTCAAAATTATACGAATGACTAAAAACACCCAGTTTTCACGTTTCTTTTTACAATAACTTTTTTATTTGTTGACCTATATTAACTTAGTAACTCTCAATTTGTAGACAATTTTATTGTGCCTAAGACTCTTGTACATCATTCTTCTCTATGGTCCATTATATTGTCAATATTTCAGAGAAACTACTTTTTAGATTTTTATTTCACTTTAAAATATAAAGATGAGAGGCATTTCCCACCACCACGTTTACGCAAAAAAAAATTGCGAAGACGCAAAATTTGCATATCCAATTATATTTTTGATAAAATTTTAGCAAGAGATGTATAAAAAATCTTGTACGAAGTTAACATCTAACCATTTACAGTTGGCATAGATTATTTTCAGTTAATCGTGATCTAATTTAAACTTTTTTAGTTTCCCAAACTTAAGAAGATAGCGTATCGTATACAACGGCGTACTGCACGGTTAGAAAACGCATAAGAACTTTAGTCATCGTAAGGTAATAAAAGACTACAACTGAACGAAGATTATTAATGAATGCAAATGAAAGCAAAAATTGCGGAGGCAAACTAAATACAGGATATTTTTACCAGGATACTTAATGATAAATTCAGTTTAAATAAAGCTAGCTCAAGAAAAATTTACTTTACGAATATGTTGAAAAAATTTTTTTCGCAAGTTAGGTAGAGGCAAGCGGTGATGCCGAATTCCCTCCCGCAGGTAGTTTTGGTTAAAATATATAGTCGAATTCCCTCCCGGGTACTAGCCGAGTTCCCTCCCGTTCATATCAGCTCCGATAATTAAGTTAACGACCACTTTCCGATTTTATTTGTCGAAAATAAATATATATTTATAGTGCACTTCAGTAAATTAAAGATAAAATAATTTTAGAAAGAAGACACATATCAGTTATGAAATGTTTATTTATTTAATTTTAAAATGGTTTCCCACTACCTTAACAAATTCAATGTTTGGAAATTCGTGTGCGTCTAGCTTTTTGATGCAATCGTCTAGAAAAACATTATTAGTTTTAGTTTGTCTTGTTAACAATTTTTTAAAATTAGATAAAACACTTCTTATTTTAACATAAATTTCACATTGAAAATCGACACAAAGTTTAAAACATAGAAACCAAACGTATTAAACCTATATAAGCTTACAGCTATTGAAAATATTGTCGCCCTTCGAAAAATCTCTTGTTACGCCCGTGTGCTTGAATACTATGAAAGACAAAATTATGTACCTAATACAGTATAAAGAAAATTGTTGAGATGAAATATTGTACATACGTCCAATGAATAGGCAAATGGACACAATATTAATAATACCGCATTTAATCCCTCCATTTGCATGGATAATTAATTAATTCCATCGGAGGTTAATAAATGGAAAATTTTCAAATACGTAATTCCTACGGGCGTGTACTCAAGCAGGAGCCTATAGGTTTTGGCTGCTGCTTCGAAGTTGTTAACAAAATAGAAATAAAAATAAATACTTAGTTACAAGAATATGATTAAGACTCCGTAAAACCTTTTAATGAAGTTTGCATGTACGGTCTGTTTCTTTTTCTGATACCGAGATTGACCCAAAAAAAGGCAGGTAAAATTTTAGATTGTTTTGGATTTGTTTTCTGAAAGATATCTAGAATGATAAGATCCATGCCCAACTGAACCACAGTATAACGATTCTATACAGTAGGTTCACTTCTCAGTCACGCCTCGTACATGACAGTTCAGCGCATATAGATTTAAATTATGATTATCTGCAAAATGTGTTGGCATTTTAGGCAGATCAAAGGAGTGAACCTACTGTATAGAATCTTTTTACCGTGAATGAACCATGCCTTTTTACACTTTTCGCTAAACTTGATCTGATTCAGGCACATTTTAAACTACACTATTAGCAAAGATCTTTCGAACATCAGTAGATACCAATTTACGTAATCCCATTTTATTAATACAATTCAAACAGTACAACAATTGTGAAACATGTTTATTAATAGAAATGAAACGAAGAACGCCGACACGTTTTCGCACAGTTGTTGTTTTGCCTCAACAATATTTTTTCGGCTGATACGACCATTATCAAAAATAGATAAATGGTTCGACTACATTCGTTTATTCTTTGACTTTATTTGTGCATATTTTGATAATTCAACGATACAACTATAAAAGAAAGGTAAAATAAAAATATATATATAGATAATATTGTGAATAATAACAATTTTACACATCTCCCACTTTCCGAAAAAGATTCTGAGCACGCGAACTTTGTGATTTTAAATTGACGCATAGTAAGAAGGTCAAACAAGTTGAACTCAATCCGCGCAAATAGAGAGTTAAATTGATTACTGTATAAGTACCTTAATGATTATTTTTAGGCTGGGCAAATACTGATTATTTCCTATAATATATTAATTTATTAGGTTAATTTATTGAGGAATAGCATTTTTAAATAATTTTACTTCCGGTATTTGATGCAATCAAGGTCATTCAATTCAAACAGTAGTTCAGCAGTAATTATATACGTTGAACTCCGATAGTCATAAGAACGTATTGAATTCATCAGACACTGTAACAACTAGAAAACAAATATTGCTTGAATTTGCAAACAGTGGATAGGACAGTAATACAGGGACGGAGCATAAAGTGTCACTATAGACGAGGGGAGTAAAGCCTCTCAGACAAAATGGGTAGTGCCCATACATTTGTGCCTAAATCTTATTGGCTGCTCCTTTGCACCTGCTCATTGCTTAGCTACAATACAGTATAAAGATTCTGCACAGTAGGTTTACTTCCCGGCCACACCCATACCTCGCTCTCCTAACGACGCATTACCACTTCAACGAGTTCCCCGCTAAGCAGAGGCTGACTTATATAAAGCAGAGAACGGCATGGCCTAAAGGTTTAGACCATTGCTTAGCATTCGGGAGGACGTCGGTTCGATTCCGAGTCCGTCTGCCTTGGTCCATATTTTTCTGTGGTTTCCTTGGATCACTTAGGCAAATGCTGAGGCAGTAATATTCCACAGATAATCTTTCATGCTCTTCTGTCTTCATTTCGTCCGTCTCATCTTTCTCATTCGAACCACCACCCACCCATTCCCACGATTTCTGAAAGGAGGCTGAAGAGGGCCTTCCGCCCAACCTTCCGGCGTAGTCCGGAGGGACTGCCCGCCCACCAGCATTAGTGACTGGTGGGAATGAAACATCCAAAAGTTCTTTTGTTTTGTATAGAACAGAGCCGGCCAAACTGACTTCTTAGGAGCGACTACATTGTATGTGACAGAGACAGTCTCTCTTCCTCCGTAACCAAGCCTTTTGGTTAGAATTACGAAGAAAAAAGTTTCACTATACTTGTCTCTTTTGCCTCATGAGGAAAAATGGCGATAGTAGATTTGTATACCTCACTCGCTTGCTCTTGCAGGAGCACCTAGGAGCGCTAGGAGCAGAGTTTGGCCGGCTCTGGTATAGAACTATAGAGTATCAACGTGAAGTCGGTAAAGCTATTGAACCGTCCTCGTATATGGTAGTCCAGCGCAAAAAATGTCGGGATTTTAGGCAGATCAAAAGAGTGGATGGATCTGCTGTATAGAATATTTATACGTTTTTACTGTGGTTATGATGCATTCAAATGCAGCTTGACTTTTGTTACATAAACCCGAAAAATTTAAAAATATAGTCAATATATCGCTAAATACATCGTTTCTAAATACCTATACTAAATACTAGAAATGGGCCGGGTACCCGCTTTGGATCCGCAATACTAGAGGATAATGACATTGGATAATTTTACCAGAGAAAAAAAAAAACAAAAACACCAGCAATAATAATTTATTAAGTACCCATAATAAAAAACCTACCTAATAAAATTTGGTAATTAAGATTGTATTGGGATAGATCGTTTATCCTAATTTGATTTATTGCCATAGTAAATTATTTATTATATCGCTTGGTGGTATATCAGATTTTGATTAATGATAACATCGATATGATTGTGAGTTACAGAAATTGAGAAATTTAAACTAAAAAGTTTGGAATATGTCAAGGGAACAAAACAATATCCCAGTTAGACAAGATTTCATATTATGGAAGTTCGAACTGTAGAAGTCGATTGCATTTATGATGTTCCCAAAAGTTTGTTAGCAAAACTAATTCAGTAATTCGCCATTCCTAGAAAATTAAAAGAAACTAAGTAATTGTGCGAGTTATGGGAAGATTATAGTAATTTACATATTTTTTTGGTTTGGACAGTTTTCTTGAAATATTTCTATTTTAAATTTATAATGTAGTCTTATAGAATATTAACCTAACAAATTAAAATATTATTATTCTTACACCATGGTGGCACCATGGAGGTTTAAGGGTTAGCAATTACACCTTAATTAATGTACTAATACGTTACTAATGCTCTGTCCTTGTCCTTTAAAATGATAATGAAAGTGAATTTGTTACAATGGATATATAAAAACGTTTTTTTCACTTACAATTTACATATGAAAAAAAGATAATTTATCATTATTGAAGCTATCAATTTCATGAAAGGTCTCAAGTACCTACTTATTACTTATGATAAATATCACGTGTATCTAGAAATAAAGATATTTTGCTGGATGTTTCCAGAATAAGTGTAAAAACTGCAACAACTTTTTGAGCTTACTTGTTGATTGTCTTTTATTATACTATATTTTTATTAATTGTCTCCATTGCTTAATGTAAATAAGTGTGAATGTATGTACCTATGTACAAAATGTTCCACAATTAGAGGATCATTTGTTAATGCCTAAATCAAAGAAAATGAAAATATGTTCTGATTTATCTCTCTGCAAAGTCATTATTTAGCATTAACACTAATCATAAAATTGGAACCAAATTATATCTAAGCAGTGCATCTTATAAACTAAACCAATCAAAAGGAGAAGACGATGTGTTTATGAACACTTGTAAAAATTAAAGTCAAGGTTCATAGACTTTTGCAATATCCCTTAGCATCATCAGTTTTAATAGTAATAGTCCAATGGATAACGGTATAACAATAAGGAATTACCTCCGAATTCTTTCAGTGAAAATTGATAATTAAGCTTATCCTATCCTCCTCTATGACAGTTATATGTATCTGATGTGTGTATTTTATTTTTAAGGATTGGGAACAACCCGTTTTGGCAAAAAATTGAACAACAATATATTTAAGCAATCTTTGATAAAATAATATTCCAATGTGTACAACAACCTTTCGTTCATATGCTGGTATGTAAACTATGAGTAATTTAGATAATTCAACCCTTAAAAACCACCCTCAATAACAAAACCCACTAAAAATTAATTTCAACCGTTTCAATTTTTTTGATGGTGCATTTATAATGAATTAAAATGTCTTCTTTGACAATAATAATTTTTATACTTTATTGCAACGTTTCGACGTTGAGTAGTTCTTATAAGTACAGACCTATAGGAACTACTCCTTACTACAAAATGTTTGAAAAAATGATCGGTTATTTAGCTGTAACATCCTCAATTTTACAGAAATCCAATCGCACAGAACTAAATTTGCAGGTAATTTCAAGGACTATAAGACCTGCAACTTACGACGATATCTCAAATAATATACATCGTAGAAAAATAAAAAAACAACAAAATTTTGTACAATATTATATAAGTAGATGCATTCTTTACGTACATTGTTTTTTAAAAAAGGAAATTTTTCAGAAATTCCAAATTTCTATCCAACGTAAATCAAACTAATTTAAAAAATAAACATTCTAAAGCTAGAATATATTATAAGTACCTTAATGATTATTTTTAGGCTGGGCAAATACTGATTATTTCCTATAATATATTAATTTATTAGGTTAATTTATTGAGGAATAGCATTTTTAAATAATTTTACTTCCGGTATTTGATGCAATCAAGGTCATTCAATTCAAACAGTAGTTCAGCAGTAATTATATACGTTGAACTCCGATAGTCATAAGAACGTATTGAATTCATCAGACACTGTAACAACTAGAAAACAAATATTGCTTGAATTTGCAAACAGTGGATAGGACAGTAATACAGGGACGGAGCATAAAGTGTCACTATAGACGAGGGGAGTAAAGCCTCTCAGACAAAATGGGTAGTGCCCATACATTTGTGCCTAAATCTTATTGGCTGCTCCTTTGCACCTGCTCATTGCTTAGCTACAATACAGTATAAAGATTCTGCACAGTAGGTTTACTTCCCNTCTTACGTTATTTGTGAAAAGCAGTACCGAAACATGCTTTTTTTATGAGAAAAGAACAATTTCAATTGCGAATAACTCGGAAAGCATTGAATTACATAAAAATATATTACGAACATTTTTGCTTAGAATTCATTCCACTATAGATTTCTGCAGTTATTTTAAGGGTGCCAATTTTCACTTTCTAGAAAGGGTGGCAACCACCCCTAAGGTAAAAGCACACATTGGCACTATATATAACTTCTGATCCTTGAGCTTTTCCCTACTTACTTCCCAAATTTCACGTCAATCGGTCTTGCCCGAAAGAATTCGAAGCCAAAAACTATCATCCTCTGGACTATAATAGTAAAGTATAGAAATACAGCAAATGGTACGTTGTAAGAATACATATACGCCAAATGTTATATACCTAACTTGAAATATTTTGCCTAACGCTAATGATGAAACTGTATAATTTAACAATACCAGAAAAAGTAAAATAATAACAGGTGCATCTATAAATAAAACGTATTGTAGGTATTTACAGGCGTTTCGTAGCTACTGGAATGAATAAAATTTTCGATAGAAGCCGTTTTCTAGCAGTTTAGTGAAGTTTTAGCAAACTTTAGAATGATATTACGATAATCATTAAAAGTAGGCATCAAACGATGTAGAAATAAATTCCAATCAGCTCAAATAGTGATCTTAAGACAATATTTATATCTATTTTTTAGAAAATTTTCTTAAGATTCCAAATTAAAAATTTTTAGAAAAATAAATTTTGTAATAGAATAAATTTTTGAAGTTATTACTTCTTTAGGTTTATTCAATAATCATACGAGACAATAATATATAATGAAAGGTTCCCAAGTATTTGACAATAATTTTTAAGTCTTTATAATAATAGAAATCTTTATTATATAATAAGTGTAGCTTTTAGAAGCTTTATTACAATTCAAAGAATAAAAATTATCTTAGAAAGTTTGTTTTTGTACACAGTTACATCCTTACCTTTAAAACTCAATCAATCTTTTTGCTTTGCGAATTTGACAAAGAATAAAAAACGAATGTGTTAATTTCTTTATCAGTTAAGTACCTAATATTTATTTCAGAGATAATTTAGAAATCGATTTAATTATTTCGAATTATTCAAAACATCATTTACTTGTAAAAGTGCATTTCAACTTTTTTTGGAATTTTTATTGGAATGTTAAGAATTCCTACCATAATTGCTAGGATAAATATTCGTATTTACATACATGCATATATTATTTTCTTTCCCAAACTTTACATTACTTTTGCCTCCACGTGTACATAATGCGCCTATGCCTACGTCATTCGAAACGTCAGAATTTACATGACAAGACCCGATACGTTAACCAATCAAAAACAGCCAAATACATGAACTTCCTGAGTTAACGAATACATGTATATTTGTACACATAGTTTATTTATGATAAATAGAAGACGCAATTCTAGATTTTCACCAGTGAAAACAAATTAAATCCCTCTGAGATATAAATTGTGAAGTTTACAACAAAATTTAATAGTATACTTGCATTTAATAGAATACGTTCATCATAATGGAGGCTTTTCCCGTAACATTAATAGTGAAAGTTCCTAATCAACAAATTGAAGATCAAACTGTCAAATGTGAATTGTCATGGACTATAAATAAACTTAAACAACATTTATCCGAGGTACACCCCAGTAAACCGGTATGTTTTTAATATTTTTAGTTTCGTTATTGTTAGCATTAACTATTAAATCTTTATATTTTAGGCGAAACATGAGCAGAGGCTTATTTATTCAGGCCAATTACTCCCGGATACAGCTTGCTTGAAAGATATTTTACGACAGTATGAGGGCCAAGAAGTTCATACAGTACATTTAGTATGTGTTTCAAAGAATGATATGTTTAAATGTCAATCTTCACCGTCAAGTATAACAAGTAGAATGTCTTCAAGTACAAATTCTAGCAGTAATGTAGCCTCAGAAAGTAGTGATGTAAATAGAGAACAAAGAGTGCCAAATTTCCAATACCCTAATATGAGCCAATTTCCAAATTACAATCAAATAGATTCTAATCAATATGCCCTTCAGATGGCATGGATGCAACAAGCTTATATACAATACATGATGCAATACATGAACTCGTAAGTTGTATATTAAATGATGTAACTAGTTCAGGACTGAGAGTGGGTGTATTTTTGTTTTACAGAGCTACAAATCCTAACTACAATAATACAACAGGAAATGTAAATCAAAGAAATGTTGCTGAGCAGCCTCAGGTAGTAAATAGGCCTGCTGCAGCTGCAAGAGATCCAGATATTCCAGAAAGAGACTGGCTTGATGTTTTCTACATGGTTATTAGAATGATGGTGCTATTCAGTATTGTGTATTTCTACTCAAGTCCTTTACGTTTTATAGTTGTGTTGATGTTGGGTGTTGTCTTTTATCTATACCAAATAGGATTCTTTAGAAACTTAAACAACAATAACAACAACAACAATACTCCTGCTGACCATCAAAACATAGAACATTCACCATCAGTTTTGACTATAATGTGGACATTTTTCACCACATTTTTTGCCTCTTTAATTCCAGAAATACCAAATGCTGTATAATATTCATATTTCTTTCTTAAATAATATGAACTTCTGGTTCTCATGTTTTTCGTTTGGGCGGTAGTTGGTATATAAATGTTTGCTCCTTAGATAGCTTTATAGGACAACATTTATTAATATTTGTGATATTACTTTTTTACATTGTATATGAAAAATTTGTATAGTCCTTATTAATAAGTTGTTTCTCATCTCCATAATAACTGTATTTATATGTTGAATGTACCTTTTCCAAATTTTTATTTTCTAGACAGTTTTGTGTAATAAAAAGAGTATTAACGGATCATTGGGCGTTCAAGAAATTAAGACATTCATTGAAACTAAAGGTGGCTTACTAAACACATAATGTAATTTTAAAATGCACACCGAATCATATAATTTCATTAAACTTTTAAACTCTTTAAATGACAAGTTTTTCCTTATTTTTATAAGTAATACAAAATCTATTATACATTTAACAAAATCTTATATCTATTACATAGAGTTGCTTACAATTCAGTCAAGATTGAATAAGCACAATATAGTTATTATAGTTGTCAATATTGAAAAATATTGTAATTAAATTTTTGTTCAAAAAGCCTTTTTAATCTGTTACCGTTATGTTAGCTGTTTCATTAAAGTCACTCTCAGATTTTACTACTTTCCTTTTCTCCGTTACGTTTTCTTCTGACTTGTTTAGTTGTATTACATCTGGTCTAATAGGACTGCAACTGCCAAGAGATGTGGTTGTATTAATCAATACAGCATTTTCTTCATACTGTTCCTTATTAATTTTTGTACTGGTATCAAATAAAAGTAAATGGTCAGAACTAATATTTGAATCATCAGAAATCACATTTTTTTCTGATTTGTTTATAGCAAAATCTGTTTCCGTATCTGGATTAATCACAATATTAGAAATGATATTCACCATACCAGCATTATTACTTTGCATTTGGTTATTTTTAAGCTTTTCTTCCCTTATTTTTCTAGCTCTTTCTTGATTTTTTCTTATTCTTTCTTCGACTTCTTTAGAGAGAACTACTTCTTCCTCATTATTGGATGTATCAAACTGCTGAGAAACTTGCTTTGATTGTCTTACTTGATTGGGTAATGACACTGTTTCCTCTACTCTCATATTTTCCTTTAGGTTTCCTTCCGAGGTTTTTGGTACTATTATATCTGATACAAGAGGACTGCATTTGTTATTAGATATAGTTGTATCCATTACTACAGCATTTTCTTCATACTGTCTCTTACTAATTTTTATGTTGGCATCAATTACAACTAAATGGTCAGAATTAATATTTAATACATCAGACATTGGATTTTTTCGTGATTCGCTTACAACATAATCTGTTTCCATAATATCTATATTCATTACATCATTTTCAGTATTACACTGATATTCTCTGGCATTTAATATTTCCACATCTCCAATATTAGAAATTGTATTCTCACTGCTAAAATTACTACCTTGCAGTTGGTTATTTTTAAGCTTTTCTTCTCTAATCTTTTTAGCTCTTTCTTGATTTTTTCGTATTCTTTCTTTAGCTTCTTCAGAAAGAACTACTTCTACCTCATTATCAGACATATGGAATTGTGGAGGAACTGGCTCTGATTGTTGTACTTGTTTTGAGGTTGAATATTCATTATTTAAACTATCAAAAATTTCATCCCATCCATCTCTTTCTGTAATTTCTTCATTTTCATCCACAACATCATTCTCATTATGGTCTTCATCAAGCATACCAAGGCGCATTTTCTTTACATAAGTCTGCAAAATATAAGAGTCAAATAATAAATAAATAATAATTTAAATGATGTACCTGAATAATTTTCTTTGAGCCTAATTTTTCAATTTTCGATATACATTCATCAAATGGATATTTAGGGAAAAGCCTGTTACACCAATACTCATAAGTTTTCATCAAATGATTCAAATCTTCTTCTTCATGTCCTGGTCCTTTGAATTTAACATTTTCGAAAAGACTTTCCAGAGCAACAAGTCCTTTTGGCCCTCTCAATGTGTCAGCATTTAGTTTAGGTTGCGGATTACGTACTATTTTTTTAGGTTTAATTAATTTAGATTGCTCACTTACTTCACCATTATTTGCTTCAGATTCAGCATTTATATTATCTTCTTCCCCTGATTGTGCATTATGTGATCCTAAATCGTCATTGTCTGATTCTAAATTCTCAACACTATTAGTTTCGGACATTATTAAAGTGTATGTATCGTAAGTATTCTTTAGTAATTACACTTCCTGAACAGAAAACTTTGGCGCTACTTTTATTAAATTTTTGGGTTATGGTGTGATTTTTATTTTGTATTTTGTATATTTAACGGTTATATAAANCGAATAAAATAATTCGAAGTGGTCTGTATTCTGTCGAAACTGCCAGACGCGGATCGCGATTTCGATTTTTCGGATCTCATCAGCGCGTCGCAGGTAGCTCCGACAGAACACAGACACGTTTTCCTAATTAGGCATTCATGAGAGGGCATGCGTTACTTTTGTGATTATGGCCTAATGCGGTTTCCCCATTATGAAGGCTTCTGAAAAGGTCACAAATTGTCGTTTCGCATGCTTTAAAGGCGTTTTGGACCATCCATTTTATTCTCATTCCACGACTATTTACACAAGGCATTTTGTTTTCACTGCGTTTTTTTTTGTTTCTATATTAGATATATATAAATACTTACGACAGTATATATAAATATATATATATCTCTAATTAATTTATGACTCACAATGAACACCATAGATAAGTCTGGCTGAGTGGGCTCAATCTTTGCCAGCTTTCGTCTTCAAATTCAAACGGTACCAATGACGCGCAATCGATGGCGTCAATTATTTTATAACTTCAGTATCTTTCGAATAAAGAGACACTGAATTTCCCCCAGCATCCATTAACAAAATAAATGGTTTATATTGAGAACCCATAAACGACGAACAATTTATTGGTAAAGTTCAAATTAGCGGTTTATCTAATTTGGGTGTCCGATTCACACGACCAGAAAGTTGCAGGTCCAATAATCCAAGAGGCTGCCCCTCCACCACCATGATTATTTTCAAACTTTAAATTACTCTAATCGTTTATTTATTATTTGTCAATAGCAATTGTTTGCTGGTCTTGTTTATGGATAAAAAAATCAAATTTTAATCCCCAATCTGGCCCGCCCTCAGTAGAGAAGGAAACTTTTTTTTTACTTTTACTTATCCATTAACATTCAGTATCATTTGTCTAATTATAATATACGTTGGTTTGATTATCAATAATGTTTAATTAGTATTTTTTCAACAACTTTTATTAGCACCTATGAAAGCATAGCAGTTATTAATAATCTAATTAATACTATAAATAAAGAGTCATTTCATTCTTTATGTAATTATATAAAACTTGCGCAGAGTACCAACGAGCACAACTTAGTGACGTTTTTACTTACTTATCATTACTTATTAAACAAGCCATATCACACTCCTATGCCTAGTTCTTTGTCATTACATATGAGGGTTGGACTCCTTATCTACAATATTCATGATTTATGCCCAATGACTAATTAGTCGTGGACAAAACAGTCAAAAATTGCACTTTTCGAGTAACTAAGAAAAAAAAAGTAGCTGTTTAAAATGTCATTATGACTCATGATGAGGGAAACGAGTTTCAATCGCCAATAAGGCGGTATATTATCATATTAATACATTTAACTCATAAATTGTTTGAAATGCCTACTGAAAATAGGTTTCCTACAATTGTTTTTCTGTAATGAAACAGGTAACAGACAATTTATAATACTAAAATTCGTTTATAATCTAAATACAATGGACCATGTAAGAAGAGAGGAAATCATTAAATTAGTTTCATATATCAATTTTTTGTATCGTTTTCAAATCAATGAGAAATCTTAAGCTGATGTACGTATGATACCAGATATTATTTGTTTTAATTACGTTAAAATTTAAGTCATACGATATACAACACAATCGGATATAATATATAAATATGATGAATACATACAATCTTTATGAAGAACTCCATTGCATTTTTAATTACAAAATTACAAATTACTACAAAATTGTTTTTAATTATTTTCTCTTTATCAATTACATTTCATGGACGTTTTCTTTTATTAGCCTTGAAAAATTGTCTACAATAAATCAATTATTTTCTATCTTTAATTAAAACAAATACATTAAAAAATAGTTACTACATGTCGTGGTGAATAACCAAGTTCATAAACTACTCATGTATTTAATAAACTGATCGTTTTTTACAGTAATACAATTCTTACCACACAATGTGTAACTATTTTCTAACGTGTTTAGCAAAATTTTTATCAAATTAAGTAATAAAGTACAATACATTACATCATGCAGTATCGTTACGAGTGTATGGTAAATGAAAAGTTATTTTAGAATTAATTTATATTTGTTTACAAGTGTTTAACATAAAGAATATTGGCAGGGGTAGTGTCTGGGGCAGTACCCACTAAGATTGACCCATCGTTAGAAAACCTATGAGTTTACGAACACGATTGTAAAGGACGCTTTACTATGCAATAAACAGTAGTTGAGATATAATACTAATGAGTATGCTAGGGTTCGGTTGGGTTATGTCTCCGTTACGACGAAACTCGATTCATGTGACCCTCGCCACCTTTCCATCGAAGTTTTACAGCCCTGGTGGGCGTTGCCAAGAGTACTAAACTGAACTCAGAACATTTTTTTACAATTACCTGCTGTTTTTTACACAGTAAAGCAAAGAGGCAAATATACATTGCTATGATTACTAAAGCACGCCGGAAGTGAATATAATATAATAGCTTCTGAGTTTTATAAATTCCTAATCATTTGTTAAATTTCAAATGTCATTTGTGTAAAATGCTCCAATATCTAAAGCACTATCACGCGTTAGGGTTGGTTTTTAATCTTTTTTAATTACAGTTTCTATGCAAATTATTACTTAAAAAAATGTATACAACCTAAACACAACTGCTATTAAAAACCCAACTTAATAAGTATAGCTACTGTAAAACTTCAAATCAATTGATTTTAAATTAAAATTATACACA